CCAGTTACTCTGCAGGGGCATTGAGGTTATTTCTAAAACACTGTTAAAGAAATTGTGTAGAACGGCATAGAGAGATGGCTCAGCAGTTAACAGCACTGACTGCTCTTCCAGAGGACGTGGGTTCAATTCCAGGCACCCGCATTGTAGCACATAGCCATCTATAACTGCTGTTCCAGGGAATTCTGTGCCCTCTTCAGGCCGGTGTAAGCACTGTATGTAAGCATGGGGCACATGTAAGCAAAACACCCATACACATACAAATTTTTATAAAAAGACATTACTTTGCAATAAGCATCTTGTACTTGCATCTTTGCAGCCAGCACATTTGTAGGCAAGGTTTTCTCACACTGTGTGTACATTCTCAACAAGATAAATCACCATAAATGGTCCCACTGGTCTAGATATGGAGGAAGGCTTGGCTCTCAGTCACAAAACCTGACGTTATTTTTAAAGGTGTATTTATTTACCTACTTATTTTATATGAGAAGTGATGTGCATGCATCGCTCGTGTGTGGTCAGAAGACAACTTTGAGGCGTCCGTTCTCTCCTGCCTCTGTGTGTTGTGGACATTGAATTCAGGTTGTCAGGCTCGGCAGCAAATTCTTTCTTTTCTTGGTGAGCCAGCTCTCCAGCCCAAATTGATTTTATGAGTCTGTATTTTTCATATTTACTAATAGGTAGAATACCATTTCTGGTTTGTATTCTTTAATTATGGGTGAGAATCAGAAGTTACTGGATACTAAGAGCTATGTTGTACGGTGGTGTGCATGTCTGGGTTTGCGCACTGCTGAGCTTTTAGCTGTTAGAATATACAATAGCAGCTGTGGAAAATGTGTTATCAGGAAGTCCACAGTAGGGAAAGAACTGGATATAACTTGTTTGCTTACGGAAAAGTTCCAGAGTACTGAAGAAACTGCACTCGTGTTTCTCTCTCTTTCTCTTTCTCTCTCTCTCTCTCTCTCTCTCTCTCTCTCTCTCTCTCTCTCTCTCTCTCTAACATATTCATGTAATCCCAACATGTGGTAAACAGAGGCGAGGAGATGAAGTTTACAAGGCTAGCCTGGGCTATATGAGACCTTGTCTCAATTTATTTTCCTCCCCTAAGTTGTGCAATTGCCAAGATAAGGTCAGAACTCTGAACAGGAACATATATGCAGTAGAGGCGCAGAGGCCTTCACAAGTAAAATGGATGGGTAAGAATTTGTACCATTCACAAGTCAAACTGCATTGAAGCAGAGAAAGACTGTATTTTGTAAAAAAAAAAAAAAAAAAAAAAAAAAAAAAAAAAAAAAAAAAAAAAAAAATTACAGTTGCCTCACCTTTCAGGACTGGGGAAGTAATTTAGTGATACAGTATTAAGTTGGCAAGCACCATACCCTGGGCTCAACCCCAGTACCTCAATAAACAAATCTCAGCACCTCAAAAAACAAACTCCCAATGCCTCCAACACACCCCCGGTGTTCCTAAGAGGCACCTGTGGGGAACACTGGCTCAATTGTCTTGCTTGCTGAATTCAGTTTATAATAACATCTTTCAGACCGTTCCTGCCAAATTGGATTTAAAACAGCATCTTCCAGACCTGCTGACTGCTGCTGCCAACAGGCTTCAGTGATTTTAATGTATTTACTGTTCCCACTGACTCATCAGCTCTCTTGCAAAACTCAGGGTCAGGCTGAGGTAATGTATGGGAGGTGAAACTGCTCCTGTGATAATGAATCAAAGTCTGGACTTTACCATTTATGAATTTTTCCCTATGTGTGCATGTGTATAACTTTCACGTTCAAAAGTTTTTGAAAGTAAGAAGGCAAACATCAGTGAGTCATGGCAGGTTTGCAAATTTTATTAAACATGCAAGGATTAAAAAAATTCCAGTCTTGTACAATCTCATAGGATAGAAAACCAAATAAAGACTGTTAAGTCAGTCTGAGTCATTCTTAGCCTTGATACCAAACATTTACAGTGGCAATATGAAAAAAGCATTGTCCAGCCCAAAGTATCTGTAATCTGAATTATGAAGTATTTTTATTTTAATTTAAATATAATATTTTTATCACTTTTTTGAGAATATCATGTATTAATGCAAAATATTTTTTTATATTCACCCTGTTACTCTCCTGGCCTCCTCCAGGTCCATCTGCATTTCCCAAAGTTCCTGTCTTTTTTTTTTCTTACAACCCGCTGAGTCCCATTTGTGCTGCCCATATTCTCATGGATGCTGAGCCATTCAGTGGGGTGTGACTGACCTACCAGGGTCCACACCCTTCAGAGGATTCTTCCCTCTCCCAGAAGCATTATCTGACAGTAACTATTCAGCAAGGGGTTGGGGCTTGTGAGCTCCTCCCTCTTACTCGTTGGAATGTTGGCCAGATTGATCTTCTGCGGGTCTTCTTGCATGTAGCATGTTTAAAGATTATCTCCATGGGCTCCATGTTAGAATGTTTACCTACCATGCGTAAAGCCTTGGGTTCAATTCCCCAAAGCCTCAAAAATAAATTGAAATACTATTATGGTAGCTAAAAATACATGACAGGCTTTGTATCAAAAATAAATATACATCCATGCCCTCGTGGTTCGTACCTGTCATCCCAATACTTAGGAAGATGAGGCGTGCAGGACATGAGCTTGAGGCTAGCCTGACCCATACCTCAAAAATAAATAAATACAAAATTATGTACTTACTGTATTAGTATTAAAGACATATGTAATCATTTTAATATAGGTAGATGAAGCATTTGATAGGAAACATAACCGATACTAACATATTAAGAACTTATTGTTCATAACTGGAATGTTCTTGTTAGCCTACTCATTACTTGTTTAATAAAGGGGGATAATAGATTAGTAATAATTAATAATTAATTAATAATCTGTTTTATATTTAACATACCACTTGAGAGCCAAGTAGTAGATTAAAAAGAATGTCTCTTGAGTGGAAGTTATTGAACTAAGAAAGACTAAGAGAATGAAAATATCATCACATTTTACCCCTCATAAGTTAGTGGACCTAGGCATTAATCATCAACAGCTGTAATACCTCAGAGAGGAAGGTAACCAGGGGCTGTAAGTGTCCCGGTGCCATCCTGCAGCAGCCTTTTCTCGCCCCTAAAAATAACAAATGTGATGTGATAAGCGTATTCTGCTGTCAACCAGTTCATAAGAATTACAGTAAACAGAACGGCACACGGCAGCACATCCACATCATCATCAAAATCCAATCCCTCAGAAAGTCTAGGGCATACAACATAATTTCTTGAAGAGAAGAAACTGTAGCTGATGAAATATAGCGGTCAGTCATAACGTTCTCCAGTCTGACTGATGAGTCAGGCAATATAGATGAGAAGCGGAACTTAAGGCTGCAGTGGGTAGCTCAGTGTGAACTCTTGTGCATCCCTTCCAGGAAAAAGTAGAAAGACCTATCTTCAGCCTTGTCCTTCTCACTACTTACACCTATCCACGTATTTCTCAGAATACTTGGCGTACTTCCACTTCCAACGTACTTGTCAGAAAGTCTCACGTTTCTCATTTCCCATTCACTTAAAAAAGTGATATTTTTTTTACAGCATTGAAACGGTTCTTCCTGTTTTTGTTTGCTTTGGTTTTTGAGATAGTGTTTCTTGCTGTCCTGAAACTCACTCTGTAGAACAAGCTGGCCTCAAACTCAGAGATCTGCCTGCTTCTGCCTCCCTAGTGCTGGGATTAAAGGTGTGCACCACCACCACCTGGCATTTTTTCCCCTGTTCTTGTTGATGTGGTTCAAGCAGAGATGTGTGCCAGAGGAAATTAAGTATTCTTAACGCTCCATCTCTGTCCAGATGGAACCAGCAAAGGCCATTTGGCAAGTGCATGACACTAAAGGACAATTTCTATACTATATCTTGATTCTAAAATACAGTGTAAGTGGTAATTTTCAACACTGTAGATAGAATAGAATCAAACAATAAAGATCTTTCGACATCAAGATCTTAGTTTATACACTTTTTCTGTTTACAGAGAAAAGGGAGAGAGCATAGCTTAGTGATGGTGTGCTGAAAACCGTGGTTCAGTCCCTAGCACACGGTGAAAGGAACAACAGAAGCGAGTTGTAAGGACATGGATGTGTCATGAAAAGCAGAAACAAATTTTTCAGAAGGAAGAGTGGTTCTGTCAGTTTTCTCTTTAATTGCACCATGAAACAATGGCAGCTTTCTCATAGAATCCATGTTGTTTGGGTAGTAAAATGAGAGAAAAGAAACATGACAGCCATGATGCCATGCTGAAATCCGGTCACTGCCAGGGCCAGGATTGCAGCCCCAGTGGCTGTCTTACAAAGCGATCTTCTTTTGGTTTTGTATAATCCACTTTTAAAGATTTTTTTTAATAATTTATATAAATGTGTGAATGTCTGCATGAGTTATGTGTACTACATGTGTGTGACTGATGCCCATGGAGGTCAGGAGAGGGCATTCAATCCCCTGGAACTAGACGATAGTGAGCTTTTTGATGAGCGTACTGGGAACCCAAGTCAGCTCTTCCACAAGAGCATTAAGTGCTCTTAACACCAATACAACTCTCCGGCCCAGATTCTGTATATTCTTCAAGAGTCCTGGGATATGTGCTTGTTCTGAGTTCATGCCAAGAAAGACTTTTATTTGGAAAATTTAGAATTTCCACTGTCTCTGGCAGTCCTGTGTAACCCCGACTACAGAAAAGGCCACACTGTGACTGGTTGCCAGCCACCATATTCTTGCGGAGAAGTGATTGATGCCTTTTGATAAAATTACTTCTAGTTTCATGTTTTTCTCTATAACCAAATCTGGCAATAACTCTCCTCCCTCTGTGGAAAACCTCTAATTTTCATGATTGTCCCGATTCAGGAGAGATCAGGACAAGTAGGTCTTGTAGGTATCATTGTCTTCCTATGATGCCAAGTCTCCATGGCAATTGTTCTATTTTCCAAAGCAGTTAAGTAGTCAGACAATAGAAGCTAGCACAGGACAAGCCAGAACCAGACTTGGCTGATAAAGTGATTCACCTGGGACTTAAGACTGGGGTATCCAAACAGAGCAGCAGCAGAATTGGACGGGATGCTCCTAATGCTAGATTTAAAAACAACAAAAACAAAAGGATTTATTTATTATTCTTTGATAGTTTCCTAGAATATTTTAAAGAAACTTTCACATTCCGTATGGGTTTTTGTTTGTTTTACCATTTAAAAAACTGGCACTGGTTAGCAAGGGCTCAGTGAATACACGTACTTGCTGCCAAGCCTGATGACCAGAGTTCAATCCCAGGACCTCACATGGGAGAAGGAGAGCACCAACTCCCACAAGTTGTCCTGTGAGCATCACATACAAGTCAGGTGGCACATATGACCAAATGTACACCAACAAAAGTTAAATTATTGTCATTTAAAAAATTACTTTATTGGACCAGAAGTGTAATACACACTTTTAATACCAACACTCAGAAGGCAGAGGCAGGTGGATCTGTGAATTTGAGGCCAACTTTGTCTACATTATGAGTTCTAGGACAGCTAGAGCTACATAGTAAAACCCTGTCTCAGAAGAAAAAAATTATTGTAATAAATACACAAAATCATCATGTAGCTATATTAGCATGTCCATCAAAATTCTTGACTGGTCCCAGGCCCTATACATCTCAAACTGTCGTGCTGTTAGAATAGTTTTTCCTGACTCCAGGTTTCTTAGTGTTTTACATTTTAATTATCAATCTCATTTTCATGCACCTACCACCACAAGAAATATATGTGTGCATGATTGTATTGTCTTTTTCTTCCATCCTAAAATCTGTTCTTCTGCTTGTTTTGTCTTTGATTGACATCTCATTTACCTCAAGTGTTTTGTTCTGTTCTGTTTTTTAATGTTTCAGTATTCTTGCTGAATTTTTCCTTGATATTTTGGACTTTTACCTCCAGTGTACTGTTTGATTCACTTTTTGTGACTGTCTTGTTGTCCATCTGTTTGTTTGAATCTTCTATACGATCACTTATTCTTTCAAAAAAGTAAGACTCTGAATGTGGGCGGAGTTTTCCTGTGCTGGCAGCCATGCCCAAATAACCACTCAGGAACTGGTTGTAAATGCTCTGCCCATAGCTCAGGCTTGTTACTAGCTAACTCTTACACTTTAGCCCATGTTTCTTATGTACCATCCATCACATGGCTCATGGCTTGCATCCTTATTTTCTACAAGTCCTGTTTCCTCTGCATCTGCTGGCATCTCCCTGACTCTGCCCTTTTTCATCCCAGCATCCTTAGTTTGTTTGCCCGCCTATACTTCCTGCCTGGCTGTTGGCCAGGCAGCATATTATTAAACCAATTCGAGTGACAAATCTTTACAGTGTACAAAAGGATTATTTCACAGCACTCTGAATTCTGAGACATTCATCTTTCTCTATGGTTTCAATTCCTTCCTAAGGGAGTGGTTGGTTGGAGTGGGTCATGGAAGGTGGCAGTGTCATATGCTTTGTGTTTCTTTGTTGTATTTTGTGCATCTCTTAAAGTATGTTTGACATTCAGTTTTGACTTTCCCGTCTTTGGAATATATTCTGTTTTGTTTTCTGTAATTCTCCCTAGAGGGTTATCTGCATGAAATTTAGCTATGTTGCCTGGAGAAATTTAGTGTTGTTAAGTGTAGTCACTGAGGTAATCCTGTCATAGCTATGTGCCATCAGGACCACGGGTGGAATGGTACATGAAGAAACAAGGGGACCAGAATAGCAAATGTCAGACCCACTAAAGTCTGGGTGCTATCTGTGGCTATGGTAGGTTTTAAGTAACCTCTGGGGGACCACAGTAGTATAGACCCCGGAGTCCTGCAGTGACCACAGGAACATTAGACTTCAAAACCCCACACCCACACTAATCTTAAAAACACTGAAGTCAAAGCCCCAGTTTCTTAGCAGACACTAAAGCTGAAGCTCAGGCCCCCACTGTCGTCTGAGACCACTGGGACTAAAGGCTACTTCAGTGCTCTCAGATCCCAGGGGACCCAGTGACCTAGTCCCGCAGTGGTTTCTGGTCCTGCAGAAGCCTGAGGTAAATAAATGCAATTTTAAAATTAGCATATATTTAAATTTTCCTGTTTTTAAATTTTAAAAAATACTTTATGTGTATGAGAGTGCTTTGTCTACATATGTGCCTGTGCACCACGTGTGCACATGTGTGCCTGGTACCCATGGGCCAGAAAGGGTGTTGGATGCCCTGGCACTGTAGTTACAGGTGGTTGTGAGCTGCTGTGTGTGTGCTAGAACTTGAACCCAGGTCCTCTGAAAGAACAACTGAGAACAACTGAGCCATCTCCAGCCCAACATTTCTATGTTCTAGAAATGTCTCTTCACAGCTGGGCTGTGGTAGCACACATCTTTAATCCCAGCACTTGGGAAGCAAAGGCAGGCAGATCTCTCTGAAATCAAGGCCAACCTAGTCTACAGAGACAGTTTCAGGACAGGCTCCAAAGCTACACAGAGAAACCCTGTCTCAAAAAACTGAAGAAGAAAAAAAGTCTCTTCACATTTGTTTGAGGAGTCTAACAAAAATCCTATCTTAGATTTCAGTCGTAGCTTGAATTTTAATCTGTAAAAGTTCACTTGTTTAGTTTGTGATTTGCTGAAGAAATTAGGTTATTCCACATTCCGACTTTGGTGGTTGTGTCTTTGTGTATGCTTACTTATCATGTTCCTCCTTTTCTCTGCAATCCTGAGAGGCTTCATTAGAGTGAGCGTCCATTCTTTTGCTAAGAATACATAGGATGAACAGTGTCTTGCCTTCGTATTTGTTAGTCAACAGGCTCATAGTCATCTTCATTTGCCCACTCGAAGGTTATGCCTCAGTCCTTTATTGATGGCTTTCACAGCCCTTGATGAAGATTGCCTAGATGTGTTATTTTCACTAGGGTTTGCAAATTGGCAGGGATTTCCTATGTACTGTTCCATGTATCATAAATTAAGTACAATGTGCTGTAAAAAAAATAGTATTTAGCTATATAATTATCCTCAAAACAGACAGCACAGTTGATTCTTCTACTATTTTTCAGAGTTGTATTTTGTTTCCTTAAAACTTTACATAATTGACTTTTAAAAAATATTATTTCGAGTTGGGCAGTGGTGGCGCATGCCTTTAATACCAGCACTCAGGAGGCAGAGGCAGTTGGATCTCTGTGAGTTTAAGACCAGCCTGGTCTACAAGAGCTAATTTTTAGGACAAACTCCAAAGCTATAGAGAAACCCTGTCTTGAAAAACAAACAAAAATATGTATTATTTCAAATATCTTGTGTGTTCTGTCTTCCCATCATGACCATCAGGAACTCCTTCAAGTCAGTCTCATGTCCTTCCAGATGACCGGCTCATTTCAGTAGTTTTCTGGCTTTTTGCCAGATTCATCTTCCATATTTAAAGTAATGTATGTTACTTTAATGTTATTTCCTTTTTATATTAGTATGTTCTTCAGTAATGGAAACCTTAGTTTTAAATCGTATTTACAATTTTTTTCCTCTTCTCTTCTGCCAGACAATCATGTAACTTAAACACAATTTTAAAAGCCAAAGATTAGGAAGTATTCATATAACACAGACTTTGCTATCTCAGAAACTCTGTTTCCTCTTTGTTTTTTTTTGCAACTAATTCATCAGATTCCAGTTAAGTACCTCTCTCAACATAAAAATAATATGGAAGTGTTCATACAAGAATATATTGGATGCTTCCATGAAGATACACACCTATAATCTAGTACTTTGGGGCTGAGGAGAGATATTTAAGAGTTTGAGACCAGTCTGAGCCACCAGCACCTATAACTATGTTGCCTCATAGTGAAATTTTTTCAAAAACTACTACTGACCTCCAATTGCTTGGTGTACAGAAAACAAAAGACTGTAGAGTGCTTAGCTCCAGTTTGAATGATCATATATTATCTCAAGGCTCAGGGATCTTTCTGAAGGAGGGGACAGAAAGATTGTAAGAGCCAGAGGTGGTGGATAAGTTAAAGGAAACAATGTTTTCCAGACAGAAGCATATATGAACTCAGTGATTGTGACAGTGTGCACAAGACTTACACAAGCTCCAGTCAAACAGAATCCATGCATAGTGGGAATATATAATCCCAGTGCCAGCTGAGGCGCTATTAGCATTTAGTGATTTTTGGGAAAGGGAGATTCAGGTCATCATTTAATGATGATGACCTTGATACATGTGATCACATACCAGAGCAGACCTCAACCCCCAAACTAGCTGAGCAGCACAAACTAGACCTGATGGGGAAAGAAGGTCAAATTAAAACAAAAAGAAGCAGCAGCAGCAGTCTCCAAGTTCAGTTGCAAACAATGAGAGGTTTGAGGCGGAAGTGAGGGGATTGGGATCTTGAATATATTCAAAATACATTGTATGCAATTCTCAAGAATTTTGAAAAGTAATCATCATCATAGATTTAATCACCTGTTATAATTGATGGCATCAGAAATGAGGTCAGGAAGATATCTCAGCAGGCACTTGGTATGCAAGCCTGGCAACCTGAGTTTCATCCCTTGAATCCTGGTAAGGGTAGGAGGAAAGAACCACATGTACAAGTTGTCATCTGGCCTCTACATGTACACAGGACACTGCCTTCATAATGCACGTGCGCGCACACACAAAATAAATTTTTAATGTCAGAAGGCCCATTATCAGCAACAATAGTTTGTAAAGTAGTCCATGTCTAGAGTAGTATAACACACCAAGAAAAAAAATTCTGTGTGTTTTGTTTATTTATTTATGGGTAAGTTTAAGGTTAGGCACCCAGTGTCTCCAGAGATCTCTGTACTAAGAAAGGGAATTCTTCATGTTGATTTCTTTGGTTTCCCTATTTGCTTTTGTTCCTGCTAGAAAAACACCACATTCTCCAAACAGTGCTAACTGAAGTCTACCAATCAGGCTGAACCTGAATCTGAAGTGGTCTTTATGACGACAGAGGCAACATAGTTATAGGTGCTGGTTGCTCAGAACCCAATGAAAACCCAAATTTTGCCTTTCTTTTTCAGATGATGGACATAAGAAAGCTCGAAATGCTTATCTCAGCAATTCCAACTATGAAGAAGGAGATGAGTATTTTGATAAAAATCTGGCACTCTTTGAGGTAATATTTTAATTATGTGTGTGTCTGTGGGGGAGTAGAAGAGGGCATCATATTTCCTTGGAGACACAGTTACAGGTAGTTGTGAGCCTCTCAATATAGATGCTGGGAACTGAACTTTGGCCTCTGGTAAAGTAGCAAGTGCTCTTACCCACTGAGCATTCTCTTCAGTCCACAAAATGGAAATCTCATCACGCACACACAGGAAATATGAAACCACCACATTTGCAGAAAAATGTTTGAAAATGAAAATTATTATTTTAAGCAAAGTAAGACAAATGGTGAATAGTGCATTTTTCTCGTGTGTGTGTGTGTGTGTGTGTGTGAGAGAGAGAGAGAGAGAGAGAGAGAGAGAGAGAGAGAGAGAGAGAGAGAGAGAGCGCGCAAGAGAGCGCAGCAGGCAAACTGAGAATGGAGGAGAGATGCTACGGGGACAGAGAAGTGGAGACAGGGTAATCGAATGCCTGTAATGTGAAGGCAGAGGAGACTAAAGAGGGTAAGAGGATCTGGGCCGTAAGAGGGTCAGAAGGAATGTGGGGAAGGGGAGGGGAACACAGAACAAAAGAATAATTACATATTTGTATGAAAGAAACCTTAATGAAACCCAGTACTTTGTATCTTACCTTAACTTGCTGCCCTAGTTAGGTGTAGTCCTTTTGCCATCTCAGGGCTGGGGCTTAGCCCAGGACCTCATGCATGCTCTCAGTTCCCTGTCATCTTTCACGTGGCAGGGACAGGGCTCACTGAAGAATTTTCTTCACGTATTTACCTGTGAAAGAGGGTATCATTTATTTGGCTGTTTCCTGGCAGAAAGTTTATTTTGTTGCTGAATTCCAGTATCCTTCATAAATTATTTCTGACTTTATAGGAAGAAATGGACACCAGACCAAAGGTGTCCTCTCTCCTCAACCGCATGGCCAACTATACTAACCTGACACAGGGAGCCAAGGAGCATGAAGAGGCAGAGAACATCACTGAAGGGAAGAAGAAGCCTACCAAGGTGAGGCCTCAGGGTGCAGGACAGATAAAAACAGCCCCATATATGAGCGCTGAAGGCATGCCCAGGGCACCAGTCTGTATTAAGAAACTGTGTCAAATGCTTGCTATACCCAGTACCATTCGGATCCCTGGCACCATGGCCCAGACAGAATGTATAGTAGTATAGCTTCTCGTGGGAAGCCAGTCCCTAAGCCACTAAAACTCTGTTAAAGCATAGAGCATCTTCAGTGTCAATGCTTGACCAAAACTTAAGCAGGGTTAAAAGGAATGAGACTGACAAGAGCCTGCTGGAAGGGTTCGATACTCCTGTAGGTCAGACAGAGAAAGCCTTCTGACGTGGTGGATTTGCACAGAAACTGTCCTAGTGAGGAAGTTAGCTGTGTTAGCAGAAGTGTTAGCCCATTGGTGGGAAGGGATATCTCTACCCAGCCTCTGCTGCCATCTGCCTGGTACAAAGGTTTTTGTTTGTATGATTGGTTTCGGTTTTTGTTTTTGAGATGGTGTTTCACATATAACACAGGCTAACCTTGAACTCAGAGTCTTCCTGCCTTAGCCTCCCAGGTGCCAGGATCATAGGCATCCACCATGATGAGGATTCCCAGTAGTTGTTAGATAGACTTTTCTACTACTACTGTTTTTCTTACAATAAAATTATACCAATGCACATAGTTCAGCTCTTTGCAAAGGGGCCAGTGGCCCTCAAGTTTTTACTTTCCCTGACTGTTTCATTTACCAACTATTGTGAAAAATTTGTACTTAATTCTCAAGAATTTCTACAAGTTTTTCTGTTTTAAAATGTGAATAAAATTTTAACAACCTTGAAGAATAGACATTTTTAGATTGATGAGTGGTCCATTGCTTAGGAATAACAAAAACATGGGAACTTATCTAAATTACAATGTATACTGATAATGGAAGTATAGTGATGAACTTCACTGAGAGTTGTTGAAAATATTGCATAAACTTCCTGTCTGTGGTAAATCTAAGCATCTTTTATGGCTAACTATATGTTTCCTTTTGTCTTATATTTTTATTTCCAGAGCCCCCAAATGGGCACTTTTATGGGTGTCTACCTCCCATGTCTACAAAATATTTTTGGAGTGATCCTCTTCCTGCGTCTTACCTGGGTAGTGGGCACAGCTGGAGTCCTTCAGGCCTTTGCGATTGTCCTTATCTGCTGCTGCTGTGTAAGTTCTCCTGCGCTGGCCCTAGACCTCACCTGCAGCATTTCCTGTTGAGTTTGTGCACTTGACCTCCTGGAGAGCAGGAACAGAAAATACATAAAGACTCACGAGCCCAACAGGAGAGAGAGACTTTGACCTTAAAATCTAAAGGATTTTCATTCAGCGCCCATTATCCGTTATTTCCTATGTAGTATTTGATTGATATATGGTGTCCTAGATTTTTGGAAATAAACAAAATACAAGTTTTCAAATAATTCAAAATCTGGGTAATTTGGACTTGAAAGCACCGATGTTGTAGTGTATATGCTATTCTAAAATGTCCTGAAAAATAAAATTGGCAGTGCCTGGGAAGGGTGAAGGGACTCTGTGTTCAGTTTTGAAGTCTCCTTTCGTATGCCTTCCCCAGAAATTCCTCAGTTGTTTCTAACTCTTCTCTCCTACTCAGCCCATTCTGGTTTTCCGTTCATTTAAACTGCTCATTTTTATATATCCCATCCCTGTCCATCAATCTAGTATCCCCTTTGTTTTGGTAACCATTATATCCTCCATATGCATTATGCTCAGCTGAGTGCTAACCATGCAAGTTAAGCAAACCTAACCTATGTCATTAATAACTTAATGGCACTGCCTTGCCCACTCCCAGTTTCTCAAGCTTGAAACTTCAAGGCCATATTTGATTCCTTGGTTGCCATTCATCACGGCCAGTCTGTTCTCTCTGAGATACTTCATATGCATGCCCACTATCTCACCGTAGATGTTACCTCTCACTTGTATGACAGCAGCCTACTGGCTAGTCACTGTGCCTCCAGCTACTCCCTTTCGAAAACCTCTATCTGCTGTGTTACTAGATAATGTTTTAAATTTGTCCTGGTGGTCTCTTTCTTGCCACATATTGTTTTTGGCATTGTAGCCAGTTTGTAGTTAGAGTCTAGCCTACTTTACAGTGCTGTCTCCCTAGCTAGTCCTTTAAAATATGCTATGCAGTAACTCTTTGTAAAAGTAGATGGAGTTAAGTATTTGTAAATGCTCTGAAGTCTTCACGTGGGAAAGTAATACGGAAATGTTAGCTCTACCCAGTAGTTAAATTCTTTTTTCTCTCTCTACAGACGTTGTTGACTGCCATCTCCATGAGTGCCATTGCCACCAATGGAGTGGTGCCAGGTCAGTATCCCAAGCTTGAGTTTCAGGGATTATCCTTGATTAATCACTGTGCATATGCTGTAAAGCTGGAGGTGTGAACTCCAGAGCCACCTAATGTGTTTATTCTGTTGTTCCTAGTGTTCTGTGACAGTGTCAGCTTCTAGAAGCCAGGGACAAATACTGTTTGGCTTAACGATGCTATCTTTGAAATCTCATTATTTTCAGTCTACAGTACTTTAATGTCAGTCACATACTTAGCTTATAAAATACTTTTTATTATACTATTATATTCTGTAGGAAATAATCTAATTTTTCTAATAGTAATAAAATGTATTGTGCACATCATATTCCCATTAATAAATCTCCTTTGTTGCATTCAGAGTTCCCCAAACATCTTTTGTGCATGTTTTTGAATTATTACTTATACTTGTCTACAGTCCTCTTAGTGATACCCTCCTTTTATTTTGTCTTGTAGCTGGGGGCTCATACTTCATGATTTCCCGGGCCCTGGGCCCAGAGTTTGGCGGGGCTGTTGGCCTCTGCTTTTATCTGGGCACCACGTTTGCAGCAGCCATGTATATTCTTGGTGCCATTGAAATTTTTCTGGTAAGTAACGAATTAGTTGCGCCTACAATCCAGAAGCTCTGTGGGTTTCTTTTCTTAGATATTAAGGTTTCTGAGATCAGGGGTGGCAGCCGGTCAGATGTTGGCTGCTGTGACTGTGTCTTATCGTGACTCTGAGGCAGAAAGGTTGAGGTGTCCTTCACCTGCCCGTCCTTTCCGAAATCTCTCTCCAATTGTTCCCAACTCTATCCCCTCAACCAGGGAGCTCATATCAAGCTAGAAGACTTGTGCCAGTGTAGAAAAGTAAAATAAATCTCATTTGCTTCTATTGTGCATGTATATGTTCTAGTGTGTTGAATACATGTGTGTAGAAGCCAGAGATCAACCTGGTTCCTCCCTGTTGTTGTGTCTCAAGAACCCATCCAGTTTGTTTTATGAGGTGGGGTCTTTCACTGGGACCAGAGGCTCAGCACCGGGGGTCCGCATGTCTTCACCTTCCCAATGCTAACATCATCACAAGCACATGCCACCGTGCCTGGCTTTTTACGTAAGTCCTGGGGATCAAACTCAAGTACCAATTCTTGTGCAGCAAAGCACATCACTGACTGAGCTGTATCCCCAGCTTCTCTTTTGATAACTTTATCCCAATGAAAGAATTTTCATTTCTCCACTCATACTATAAATCTTCTCTAAAGCCTTTTAAATAGAATCATTTTTCCCACTTGCAAATGTAGATATTCAAAACAGCAATGAGAAGACAAAATAATCCATGAAATAATATTTCTATAGACATTCTAGAGCCAAATAAAAATTTGGTTAATTGGCAGTCCGGTGTGTACATAACTTTAATTCCAGCACTTGGGAGACAGAGACAGGTGGATCTCTCTGTTCCAGGCCAAACAGGGCTACATATTGAGACCCTGTTTAAAAGCAAATGAATGAAAAGGATTTAAAATATTAATGTTTTTAATAATTTTTTATTTCAGCTTTCTTTTCCTTTATAAAAGTAATATAAGCTGTTATAGTCCCTCTACTTGATTGCTTCTAAATGATTGCATTTCTTTTCTGCTTCTTTTTTATCCTAACAGGTATATATCGTCCCTCGAGCTGCCATCTTCCGCAGTGATGATGCACTCAAGGAATCAGCAGCCATGCTAAATAACATGCGTGTCTATGGCACAGCCTTCTTGGTCCTCATGGTCTTGGTGGTATTCATTGGCGTCCGCTACGTGAATAAGTTTGCCTCACTTTTCCTGGCCTGTGTAATTGTGTCCATTTTGGCTATCTACGCTGGTGCCATCAAGTCTTCCTTTGCTCCACCACACTTCCCGTACGTGCCCATGTTTCCACCGAGTCATTGTTGGGTAGTCAGTGGCAGTATCTGGTGATGTGAGCATTTCCTCAGAATTTCATGGGGTGATTTCCCTAGTGACCCAGTTTCCCAGCAGGAAGCTGCCTGACAAACTGTCCTGTTGACCACTTCCTCAATTCTGAAGTGTAGACCTAGCGGCTGTAGCCATTGTTAGGTGTATCTATCTTGGTGCCCCCCTTTACCCCATAACAACTGTGCTTATGTGACTGTCTCTGAAGGACTTTGCAGTCATAGTCATTCCCAGCAACCTTCATGGGGCATTTAAATGTTCAGTTGCCTTTTAAAATAAAAACCAGTCCAAAAGAACTCTACAGTAGCCAGTCTGGAGAGAGGACTCTGTAGCTAAGATCCCTGGAGGATCTTCCACAGGATATGGGTTCAATTTGTGGCACCCACATGGTGGCTCACTGTCTGTAACTATAGTTCCAGGGGATCTGGCCTGGTGCACACGCTTCAGGCCGGGCACTCAGTTATTTGTAATCTTGTTATAGAAGTTGTTTTGAAGTCATATGGATCAGCTGGGAATCAAATTTATTGGTACTACGTTGATTTAAACAGGTTTCAGAAAAAACAATTTTTTTTCCATGATAAAAAAAACCCACAAATCCAGTGCAGAGGAAAGTGGTGAGGCAAGAACAGGAACTTCGTGATTTCCTTACTGGTATTTGGCATTTCTTCTATGTGATATATTCATCATACACTTTCATTTTGCTTACTTAGGGGCCATAAAACAATTAAAGATCCTTTTCAAAGTTATAAAAGTTTTAGATGCAACATTTTAGCTGTATCTCAACTTGGGAAATTCCATTTTGTTTCAGGTTCCCCTTTGGGGCTTCTCCACTTCTGTTTGGTTGGGGGGGGGCACAGTGAGTGTTATTTTGCTTTTTTAAAATTCCAGCATAATATGTTTAAAAAAACAAAACCACCTCGATCCATGAAACAGAACTTGAGATTGTCAAGAGTTGTTGAAGCCAAGTAATAGAACGCGGTTCATTATGCATGTATGAACACACTCTGCAGATTCCGAGCCTTGTTTTCTTCTCTCAGGAGTATTTTACTATGGGTCTGTTACTCCATCCTGTTTATATCTCTGTGTAAAAGAAAAAAAATGAATCTACAGTTAATATTTGTATTATTCTTAAATTTCCCCTTTACTACTGTGTCTAGGCTTAAGGTCAAAAAACAGATTTCTCTTGGGTCATAGAGGGACGTACTTTTTAAATCTAGTCAAGATGTCCTACAACAGTAGGCAGAAGGTTCAGCAGAACAGGCAGTAACAAGGGCTCTTAGGAATGTAAAGTCCCTTCTCCTTTCATTTCAGACCTTTTTTCTTTCCCTCCTTCTTACCCCCCCCCCCCCCCCCCCCCCCCCCCGCCTCGAAAGAAAGCAAACAAATGAAAATGTGATCATTGGAACTTAAAAAAAAAAAAAGCAGCAGAAGCACTCTGCGGTTTTGCTGTTGCTGCTGGCTGGGGGGTGGGAGGGGTTTCACTCGTGTGCCTGTGTGGAAACCAGACAGTATCAGGTGTCGTCGCTGTCTGTCTTACTCCCTGAGACTCCCTAGCTAAACTTGAAGCTCACCATTGTTGGCATTGTTTAGCTAGGTTGGCAGGTCAGGGAACTCAGACTTTCTGTCTGTCCTCCTGGCTGCCCCTATCCTGAGGGCTGAAATCACAGGCCTGTGTAAGCACACCAGGCCACTTGCCTGTGTGCTAGAGATCTGAACGCAGGACCGCATGCTTCCATAGCAAACACTGGACATCCCTGAGCCGTCACCCTAGCCCCTCCAGGATTCTTTCTGGCCTGAAAATGGATGAATAGCCAAATATGTTTAGTTCATAATTCAGTATAGTTTCTTTGTACAGTCCCTGTGCTTGAATATCACCTACATCTGCCATTTGTATATGACCTTGATCTTGGGCAGAATATTAAATGTCTGTAAACCTCAGTGCCTCCGGCCACAGAAGATAAATTTTAAAATATTGTGAGATCCGTGAGGATTATACTGGCAGAAAATGCAAGTCACCGTGATCATTATTCCTTGTCCTTTCCTACCCATGGCAGTAGAATCTCTCAAAAGTGAGATATTTTTTCCCTTTATTAACCTGCTTTTCCTCTTTAAAACTTAAGTTTTTTCTGTTCTTTTTCCCCCTTCTTGATCTTTCTCTTCCCTGTTTGTTTTGCTTTAGGGTCTGCATGCTGGGCAACCGCACCCTTTCATCAAGACACCTTGACATTTGCTCTAAGACCAAGGACGTTAGCAACATGACAGTGCCATCAAAGCTATGGGGATTCTTCTGTAACTCAAGTCAGTTTTTTAATGCCACCTGTGATGAGTACTTTGTTCACAATAATGTCACCTCAATCCAAGGCATTCCTGGGCTGGCTAGTGGTATCATTACTGGTAAGTTAGAGTTCAATTAGACTCATTTTGATTTTTGTTGTTCCTTCTTTAAGGACAGTGAGGAAATAGGCTTTCCCATCTTAGGTTCTTTTTTGCCCCTCATTTTTTATTATATTAATTATGTATAACAACAAGTTTATTATTTTATACATGTATATTATGTATTTTGATCATACCAACACATACCCCCATTCTCTCATTTATTTAGGATTGCTCATAGGTTCATGGGTGATGTGTTGTTTATAGCCCTTACAGTGGCTACAGGACTGAAGAAAATGTCTCTCCCACCCATGTCAACCATTAGCTGGGTAAAAAGCCTCAGGGATGGGTGGGGTCACATGAGTGTGACCTCATGTGACAGGACATTGATAGAGCCAACCTTGTGACGATCTTGTGCAGGTGATCAGAGCAGCTGGGAGTTGAAGCGTGCAAGGGCCACGTCAGGAATCAGCATTGTGTTTCATGCCCTCCCTTCCTCTGGACTTTCCATTCTTCCAGTCCCCTGCCTTCAGTGTACCCTGAGCCTTGAAGGGGATGATACAGATATTTTTATGACAAAGCTTTAGTCAGTTATTCTTATCACTTTCGCCAGTCATTAATGAACCTCCACAGTTACCATCCATTGCCCACTGTAAAAAGAAATTTCCCCTACCAAAGCTGATAGCAGCAGTTACGTATAAGCTACACATAGTTTAGAAGGCAATTTGACAAGCCCAGCACGTCTATTAGCAAACATAGACAGTAGCTTCCCTGCTAGGCCAATGACCTAGACCTAAGTAGCGGTGATTATTGACTGCAGTGGGAAGGACTGAAGCCAGGGACTATTTCTGACAAGCCCCATGTGCTCTACCACTGAGCCGCTCCCAGCCCACTGTCTAAGACTCTTCTGTTGGGCTTGGCAGGGGTCCCTGTGCCTCAGCCTCCTGAGTACTGGGAGGATTATAGGCGTGCACCACCTTACCTAGCATATCTCTGCTTTTCTCTCAGGGAAATTTTCTGTATTTAGAGCTCCATTACAGAGTGCGTCTGTTACAATTTGCCTTCTTTTGAGAATAGAGGCAGATAAATGACTTTTTAGCCTAGGGTAAGATAAAATATTTTGTGAATATTTTTATTTTGCAATGTTCTTCAAGCTAATGTCTAACTCCTGGGCTTATACAGTCCTTCTGCTTCAGGCTCCTGACAAGCTGGGACCATAAGGATTTGCCTTCTTGTCTGACTCAATGTATCCTTGAAAAATTGCCAGTGATCTTCCTGCAGTGATAGCTAAAATAGAACTGTTTTAATGTCACCAGACACAGTTTTCCTAGCTCAGCTAAATTCCTGGAATTTATTCCTTAAATGGTGTCCTCTTAACTGTTGTCCACCAATTTCTTTGCCCATTAAGCAAGTTCATACTAAGAGGTTAAAAACTACTTTGCTATAACTTTTTAAAGTAGACTTTATATTTTATAACTAATTTAAAAATAGGCTTTTGGGGGCATTTTATTTTAGTCTGTTTAGCTTTCACAAATTTGTATTAGAAAGTTAACTGCATTTATTATACCAAAGCCTTTTATAAAATTATATTAGAACAAATGAGAAATAACATTGGTTTTATTCTATAATATTTAACATGTGTTCACGTTGAAGAACATGAACTAAGGGGCTGGAGTGGATGTAGGTACAGTACAGCCTAGCTTGTAAAAAGCTCTTGGGTCAGTCTCCAGGACAGTACTTATAACAGTAACTATTGGGGTTTCTGATTGAATGTTGTTTGGGTAAGAAATCATGTACTTATATTACTTCCATATTGCTTATATCCTTATATCCTCTCTCTTCCTCCCTTCCCACCCCCACCTCTCACACCTTTGCAGAAAACCTTTGGAGTAATTATTTACCAAAGGGTGAGATCATTGAGAAGCCATCAGCCAAGTCATCTGACGTCCTGGGCAGCTTAAACCATGAGTACGTCCTTGCTGATATCACCACCTCCTTCACTCTGCTGGTGGGGATCTTCTTTCCTTCTGTCACAGGTAAGCAGTGGCTGTTAGGTTTCAGAAGCCATCAGCCATAGGAGATAGACATATCCTCAGTGTTCTAAGTTTGCCCGTAGTCTTCAGTATCCATATGAACATCAAAGTACCCAGAAAGCCAAGAGGCTAACTTGGTGTTTCCCCTCACTAGGTATCATGGCTGGGTCAAACAGATCTGGAGATCTGAAAGATGCTCAGAAGTCCATTCCCATTGGAACCATCCTTGCCATCCTGACCACATCCTTTGTGTGTATCCTTTGAGTCGTGGTGGGATCATTCAGTAGAATTAGGACAATAAGTATTTTTACCTAATAATAATAATGCCCTGACTACTGCCTCACTAGCCAGATAGTTGCCCTGCTTCATACACGTCATTAAAGAAGGATTTTCTAGGATTAGTGAATAGCAGCTCAGTAAGTGAAAAGGGATCATCCTGAGGGTAGTTACTGTAGAAAGGTGAGGGATAACAACAATTTCCTTGACTGTCAGCATAACAGATTTAAGCAATGTTGTCCTTTTTGGCGCATGTATTGAAGGAGTTGTTCTCAGAGACAAGTAAGTATAAAACCATGTGTCTGTCTTCCATGACATCTGGTCACTCATCGTAGTGCCAACACAGATATACTCTCAAACCAGGCCAAGGTGTGAACCAGAACTAATAAAATAGAAAATGTATATATTTCTATATACATATATAAATGTCTCATGTATATATGAAAGTGATATATCTATATCTGTATCTATATATGACATACAGACAGACAAAGGAGGGTGTGTGTGTGTGTGTGTGTGTGTGTCAGAGGAATATATATCACTGAGCTTGTATCAAACCAATACTCTAGGTTTGATCCCAGCAATACAAAAAGCAAGGTTTAAAAAAGAGATTAAGATATATGTGCATAATTTAGCCTATGATAAGAAAATATTTTGTATCTTTTTTCTTTTGCAATGTTCCCCCAAGCTAACCTCAGATTTATGGGATTAAGAGTCCACCTGCCTCAGGCAGTAATTAATTAGTAAATAATGAGGACCAGTGCTATAAGATTTAACTAATATAAGTCTTCCCCTCAAAAGCCGTGATGTTGACTAAGTACTTTCCTGTACACCAAGAACGGCCAGGACACAGAGCGTAACAGCAGGGCGAGCGGAGCTGTGTGGTGTCTCCAGCCTCCGTTTACAGGGAGGCTCTGTCCACTCCCACTGGCATTCTAAATGGAAGTGGGATACTGATTGCCTTCGTGAAGACGCCTTAGTATTTACTGTTTCTTTTCTCTCGGAGGATACATTTTGTGAGATGTTTGTCAGATCTCTCCCTGAAACTTGATGATTCTTGTGTTTTCCACATCTTGGCTCATATCCTCACTCCACTCCCTGTTACAGTGGACTCTAGATATCGGTCCTAGCCTAGGAGTCTTCCCTCCTTTTCATCCGTCCTCCAAGTCTTTCCTAAGTCCTGTGAATGCTGTCCACTTCCCACTGTTCAGTGGTTCCATCACTTAGTACTGGGCTTCAGGGTTTTTTTCTCTCTTTATAATCACATAATAATTTCCTTTTGAGTTTTACCACCTTTTTCCATAATGCCACCAAGATGCTCTTTCTGTATACCTTTGTCTATGTTGTTTCCTTTGCTTCAGTTGGTTATTCCTACTTGGAAGACTCACTTCACCTCAAGATCAAGTGAAGGGTCTTCTCTCCCGTAGTTTTCCATCTTCACCCCAGAACAGAACCACTCCTCCTTTTGTCTACCCGCTATATTTGAACATTCTATGGGGTTCTCTTGCCATCCTGAATTGCAGCTCCTATTTTCATATTGTGTTCCCCTGATTGAGCTCTAGGATTCCTGATAGGCGGGAATCCAACACAGACGATTATAAATATTGTTGAGGCAAATAGGTACCAAAAAAATTGTGTGTGTTTGTCAATGTGTGTGTGTGTGTGTATTCCCTTCAAATAAAAGGAATCCAAATATCCATTAGAAGTAGAATGCATAAATTAACATTAATCCAGTTGTCAGCCATGAAGCCGTGGGAGTACATGAAGCACACAAAAATTTTGCAATTTTGAGAAATCAAACACAAAATGTATGTATATGTCTCAGAATATTACCAGCATATATAAATTTCTTACTTTGTTTTGCTTTTGTTTTTTATTTTTGTTTTTGTTTTTGAAACAGGGTTTCTCTGTATAACGGTCCTGGCTGTCCTGAAATTTGCTTTGTAGACCATGCTGGCCTCGTATTCATTGAAATCCACTTGACTCTGCCTCCAAAGTGCTGGGATTAAAGGTGTGCACCAACTCACCTGGCCATACATAGATTTCTTATTCCTATTCCCACACATCAGTCTTTATTTCCCTCAAGCACACACTGGTATGAGTTTTAATATTATGCCGTTTTACCTATTTCTTTTTTTTTTCTGTGTGTGTGTGTCTGTCTGTCTGTGTCTGTGTGTGTGTGCGTGTCTGTGTGTGTGTGTCTGTGTGCGTGTGTCTGTGTCTGTGTGTGTGCGTGTGTCTGTGTGTGGCACAACTGTAGCACACCTGCCTAAGGAGAATGTTGGGTGCCCTGCCCTCTCATTCTCTACCTTATTTCCTTGAAACAGGATCCCTCACTTACCCGAGCTAAAGTGGCAGCCAGAAAACTGTGACAGTCTACCCGTCTCTGCCTACAGAACTCCAGAGTTACAGCTGTACACACATCTATTTTATACCAGATTTTTATGTGGGTTCTGAGAATTTTAACTCAGTGCACTTACCTGGAAACATCTCCTCAGACTCTGTATTAGTTTTATATAATAAAACACATCAGTGTTCTTAAAATGTTTTAATATATTAATTTTTGCAGTTACTCGCTCTTAAGAATCTGCCTCTACGAAAAATATCTTATGTGTCAATATTTATTTATGTTCATAGAGATATTGATTATAGTATTTCATATAATAGAATATCAATAGTAGAATACTGAGTAATGTAAAAATTTTATAAGTAGATGGATCATGCAAAGTATGCATAATGCTAACTAACAAGTTAAGAGTATGGACCTCTTGAGGCGGGAGAGATGGCTTAGTGGTTAAGAGCATTGGCTGCCTTTGCAGAGGACCCAAGTTCAGTTCCCAGCATGTACGTGGCTGCTCACAGCTATCTGTAACTCCAGTTCCAGGACTTTTGACATCCTTTTCTAGCCTCTGCAGGCATCTGGCACGTGCATGGTACACAAACATTCGTGCAGACAAAATGAAAATTAATAGATATTCTTAAATTTTTGTGGACCTCCTCCTTGGTGTGTTTTTCTGCACTTTTCCAATTTCCACCCCAAAGCAGATTCACTGCCAATTAGAAAGAGAAATCTGTAAGTGAGACTTGGCTTGTTTTCTTACTGTACTGTTTTTTTTTTAATACAGATTATTAATCCCCCCCGCACACACACAGTGCGAAGCATTGAACCCAGGGCATCAGAAATACACCAAGCAGATGATGTGTTGTAATAGCTATACCCCCAGCCCAGTAACATTTTGTTTGTTTATTTTTTCTGTAGCTTTGGAGCCTGTCCTGGAAATTAGCTTTTGGCCTTGAACTCACAGAGATCCACCTGCTTCTGTCTCCTGAGTGCTGGGATTAAAGGCATGTGCCACCACCACCCAGCTTCCAGTAATTTCTTTTTAGACAGGATTTGCTGTGCATCCTGAGCTGATCTTGAACTCAGAATGTACCCTTGTCTGGCCAAACTCATAATTCTCCTGCCCCAGCACCCTGAGAGCTGGGGTTACAGGCGTGTTAATGCCTGCTGTTAGTGCGCTTTTATTAAACTGTGGACCTTTACATTTAGTATCATGTTTACCTCAGTTTGCATCTATAAAAATTATAAGCCTGAAATATTCACTCATGGTTATCATCCTATTTTTTCAAAGTTGTTTTCAGATAGAATTTCTCCACTGTTTATTTCTTTCCCAGATTTGGGGATGCTGTGAAAGGTAATTTGGTTGTCGGCACCTTATCTTGGCCATCCCCATGGGTGATTGTTATTGGCTCCTTCTTTTCAACGTGTGGGGCTGGACTTCAGAGCCTCACAGGTGCACCTAGGCTGCTCCAGGCTATTGCCAAGGACAACATCATACCATTCCTTAGGGTGAGTGACACTTTGTTGTGCCCTCTTTTTCCCAGGTTTTATAAAACATGTTATCGTTTTCAGCTTAACAAGTGGGAGATCATAAATGTTGAGAGATTTAGAATTTTAGTACGAGGCCCTCAGAATCCTTTGTATGTGTTTATATGTGATCGCTGTGAAGTTGTTCTTATTTTTCAGATGTCTGAAACTGGCACACTGGGTCACTGCCCCGTGCCTGATGTTTTCCCTCATCTGTACAGGTTTTTGGTCACAGCAAAGCCAATGGGGAACCTACCTGGGCCTTACTTCTAACTGCTGCCATAGCAGAGCTGGGGATTCTCATCGCCTCCCTGGATCTCGTTGCTCCAATTCTTTCAATGTAAGAGCCACTTACTCTCTTCAGCTGTGGTTGTTTAATGATATATAACTTGATTTCCATTAGTCATGTAAAAGGAGTAGTGATGACAGAGTTGACCAAACACAGACTTCACTTCCCTTCCAAAATCATTCCTGAGATGGGGCTGGAGAAATGGTTAATTGGTTAACAGCATGTATTGGATCTTCCAGAGGACCTAAGTTCAATTCCCAGCCCCCATGTAGATGGTTCACAACTGCCTGTAAGTCTAGCTCCAGGGGACCTGATACCTCTGACCTTTGTTGGCACTCATATGAACACACACACACACACACACACACACACACACACACACTTAAATCCTTAAAAGAATATTAGTTGGCCAGTGGTAGCACACACTTTTAATCCCAGCACTCGGAGGCAGAGGCAGGTGTATCTCTGTGAGTTTGAGGCCAGCCTGGTCTACAGAATGTGTTCCAGGATAGCCAGGGCTACACAGAAATCCTATTGCAAACCACTCCCCCCCCCCAAAAAAAAGGAAAGAGACAGACAGAGAGAGGGAAAAATGGAGGGAGAGAGGGAAGAGGGAGGGAGGGGAGGGAGGGAGGGAGGGAGGGAGGGAGGGAGAGAAAGCAAACAAAGAAAGCATACTTACTCCTGAGAACTTTCATGTATAAGGCTTTTATAAATGACTTAATTTAATGGGGAGTGTTCCTACCTATATAACTTCTAAAGTTACTTGTATCCGTCTCCTTTTCCTTTTACCTGTGACATTCTGATGACTAGCTGTGTGCCTGACACTGTAATAAGCTGGAAATGTAACGACATGTAAAGCCCATAGTCTCGAAGATCTGATGGTAGATAAGTGCAATGAATGGAGAGTGGCAAAGGTCAGCGCTGGGTGCCACGAGGGCACCTGAACAGGGAGGATTCCTGTAGACGTGACACCTGTGTCTTTTTTTTTTTAATTAATTTATTTATTTATTAAAGATTTCTGTCTCTTCCCCACCGCCGCCTCCCCTTTCCCTCCCCCTCCCCCAATCAAGTCCCCCTCCCTCGTCAGCCCAAAAAGCAATCAGGGTTCTCTGCCCTGTGGGAAGTCCAAGGACCTCCCACCTCCATCCAGGTCTAGTAAGGTGAGCATCCACGAAACTGCCTAGGCTCCCACGAAACCAATAGGTCCAGTAGAATCAAAAACCCGTTGCCATTGTTCTTGAGGTCTCAGTAGTCCTCCTTGTCCGCTATGTTCAGCAAGACCAGTTTTGACCCAGGCTTTTTCAGACCCAGGCCAGGTGGCCTTGGTGAGTTCCCGATAGAACATCCCCATTGTCTCAGTGTTTGGGTGCACCCCTCGCGGTCCTGAGTTCCTTGCTTGTGCTCTCTCTCCTTCTGCTCCTGATTTGGACCTTGAGATTTCAGTCCGGTGCTCCATTGTGGTTCTCTGTCTCTGTCTCCTTTCATCGCCTGATGACGTTTAATATTCAGGAGGATGCCTATATGATTTTCTTTGGGTTCTCCTTCTTATTTAGCTTCTCTAAGAACCCGAATGTCTTGAAGGCTGTCTGGTTATTTGCGAAGCAAAGGCGGCTGTTGTTAGTCTGCAGTTACAGGGATTCAGTGCCCTCTTCTGGCCTCTGCAGTCACTAAGCACAGTGTGCTGCACATACATATCTCAGGCAAGACACCATACACATAAAAATAAGTAAATCCCTACTTAGTATCATGGTGCAGACCTTTTCATTCCAGCTCAGGAAGCAGAGACAGAGAGATCTCTGGGAGTTTGATGCCAGTCTGGTCTATATATCTAGACAGTGAGTTTTAGGACAGCCAATGTTGCATAAATGAAATTCTGTTTCAAAAACCAATATAAAATAAAAGGTGGTGTGGGGGGGGGGGACGAGAAGAGGATAATGTTGAGCTGGAAATGGAAAAAAAGAAGTGCACTAGGGTGAAAGTACTAAAAAAGAAAATAAAGAAGTTCAGGGGGTTTGAAATAGGCAGAATCCTAGACCTGATAGGTGAATTTGGAGGGAGAATTAATAAGGAAGCAGAAATATGGATTTGCCCCTGAACATCTGGGTAAATAATGGTTGTACCAAACTTACCAAACTGGAGAGATGATTCAGTGGTTAAGATCACTGACTGCTCTTCCAGAGGACCTGAGTTCAATTCCCAGCACCTATGTGGCTTCTCAAAGTTTTCTGTAATTCCAGTTCCAGGGGACCTAGCACCCTCTTTTGTCCTCTATATACTAGAAGCACACATATGGTACACAGATACAGAAAAACAATCACACACATTAATTTTTTTTTAAAAAAAATTATTTTTGGCCATCAGCCCAAAGAGAGGATAGGAAGATGAACAGGTTTGCAAGGAAAATGTTTTCGGTTTCTTTACTTCCTGTTTGATAAATGGTTGGTGGTCTGTAAACAGAGTTTAGTAGCACAGAGGCCTCCAATTATTTAAAGTCATCCTAAAAGAATCACTTTAAAACAGTTCTTCTCACTGTTCTTATCCAAGGTTTTTCCTCATGTGTTACCTCTTTGTGAACTTGGCATGTGCCTTGCAGACATTACTCCGAACCCCCAACTGGAGGCCCCGATTCCGCTACTATCACTGGTGAGTCCTCATCTTGTTCCTCATCTTTTTAGAAATCTAGGATATTCTGGGTTATCAATAAAATCTTTTTATTTTTCAGCCGTTCCATACTATATTAATGTTCAGTTGTCAGTTGAATTTTCTTCTTTCCTATTCTTTTATAACTGTCTATATCACTTTATAATAACTGACAAGATCCACAGAACTATTAAGTTCTTACTTATAGGCTGCTTCATTTCTAAGGTTCAAACCTTCCCTTTGCACATCTGCTTTCTTATTTTCTCTTAGCTGAGCACTGGATTTCATCCCGTATCTCTACTTTTATAGTCTCATCAGTTTTCATTCTCACAGTTATCAGAATTTCATCTAGTAATTAAGAATGTGAACTGTGTAGTGAGGGCACCCGAGTCCTCAGTTCACCTTGATCCTTTTGAGCCCTGTAATATGCATGAGCACATGTAGCCTCATGAATTCTAATTCATGACAGGGAGTAATGCATCTAAAGTGCAGTGCTGGGGCACAGTACAGCTCTCAGTGAAAAGCTGTGGTACCACAGTAAAGTCTTGCCAGTCCTAAAGGAGCCATCCAAGGTTTTTGGCCACTATTTCATGTCTTTCCTGTGATCATATGATCATGTGGGTTTTTATGTTCAGGTGTGCCTGTTGCTATGTTGCTATTTTCTAACTTTCCTTACTCCTGGCTTCACTTACCAGTAACGGCCTGTGGTGTGACATTTATGTAGCACGAATGCATATCCTAACTGGGCTTAGCACCTCCCGTCCTCCTCCTAGCTTTAACATCAGTTAAAAGTTTGTGCTGATCTTAATCTCCAAATTAACTGTTCTTCTGTCGACACTTTAGCATTCATCACAGGGTTAGAATGTGACTGCACACGAAAGGGCTTCAGTGATACACTGTCTGCATAATTTATCTGCCCAAATCAGCCACTCGCTATAAAGAGCCAACAGCAGCTTCTCATCAGTGGACTCTGCACTTATGGGGAATTAAATGCCCATAAAAAATGTTAGGAGCCGGGCGGTGGTGGCACACGCCTTTAATCCCAGCACTCGGGAGGCAGAGGCAAGAGGATCTCTGGGAGTTCAAGGCCAGCCTGGTCTACAAGAGCTAGTACCAGGACAGGAACCAAAAAGCTACGGAGAAACCCTGTCTCGAAAATCCAAAAAAAAAAAAAAAAAATGTTAGGAATACTTCTATGAGAAAAATTTAACATCACGTTTCAGATTCTTGACTGTGTTCAGTCCCCACTTTTCCAAAGCTTATTAATTGTCCTTGTGGCTGATAACGCTGTTGCACCCCTCTTTATGTTTACTATCATCCAGCAGCAGGAAGCACCCTCTGTTACAGAAGGCACAGGGTCCACCCTGTATGGGCTAGGTGTGAAGGCTCAGTGATAGACGGCCTGCCTACATGTGCAAGGCATTGGGTTTGAGCCACAGCACCAGAAAGAAGGAAAGAGGCTATGGATATGATGTTTTTTTCCTAATAATTATTTTCATTGTATTTAGCAGAAGTTCTGTCTATAATTGACTGGAAATTTAAAAAAAATTTCCAATCCCCGCCACAGTACAGGAAGCATTTCCTAGAACTGTTATCTTTTCTTGCTACTTAGAAAGACACTTGTTGATCTGTATTTTTGTTTTCATTTTCTAGGGCCCTCTCTTTCATGGGAATGAGTATCTGTCTAGCTCTGATGTTCATTTCTTCCTGGTATTATGCCATTGTAGCTATGGTAATTGCTGGCATGATCTACAAGTACATTGAGTACCAAGGGTAAGTATAAATTTTACCTTGCCCACTGCTGAGAAGGTCAAGAATAACAGGTTTGTCCATGCATGGTGGCACACACCTGTAGTCACGGTACTCAGGAAGCTGAGGCAGGAAGATTGAAAACTGAAAGCCAACCTGAGCTGCATATCAAGATTCTCTCTCAACAAAAAACAAAAAGAAAAAAAAAAAGTGATGCAGAGCCTGAGATATTGATGGCTCAGTGGTTAAGAGAGTTTGGTTTCAAGAACTCCCCAGGCAGCTCACAACCACCTGCTAGTCCAGCCCCAGAGGATTCAACACTGATTTGGCCTCCAGAGATACCTGAACATTCATGAGCATTTCTATACAAAGATGTGTACACATAAATAAACTTTTAAAAGTACAGAACAAATGTAAACATCTTAGCTAAACTTTTCAAGCAAGGGATAGTCTGAAATGCAATTAATCCTGAATAGCATCCAAGCAACCAAAACCCCAGACAACCTCCAAACATGGGAATAAATTATATCATGACTCAGCAGATTACTTTGGACTTTCCATTATTTTCAAAATCACAATTACAAGTAATTTCTTAATCTGAATTTATATTCCACATAGTTGCTTTTGAATAGCTACATGGTGGGGGGTGACCCTGCCAGCCTGTGTTGTGGACCATCTGTGGTTTGGGATGGTCAGCCACGCAGGGGGTCCTCATGCTGATAAGGGCCAGTAGACAAAGCACAACCATGAGTCTTAGTCTTCTACCTTGTACATGTTTTACTGTGAGATTCGGAAAAGCCTGGGTTTTATTCCTTTGAACTTCTCACTGCAGTATAAACGGACTGCTCTCTTCTCCCCTCCCCCAGGGCTGAGAAGGAATGGGGCGATGGCATCCGCGGGCTGTCCCTCAGTGCTGCTCGCTTTGCTTTGCTCCGCCTGGAGGAAGGACCTCCTCACACTAAGAACTGGAGGTAAAGCGATCAGCAGACCTTAGTGGTATTTGCATACAGCTAAAGCACACAACAGTGCTCTCTTGATGACCAGATTAAGACTGTGTGGCTCAAAGGAACTGGTTTCCAGTTTTGAACTATCCAAAAATATGGCTGCCTTACTTATTGTATGCATTTATTGTATGTTGTTATTCTTTGAAGACTGGTCAATTTTAGACAATACTGAGAACATTTGAAATAACTCAGAACCATCGTTTACCATTCCTCTTATTCCATCCTTCTATCAAGTCAAATGTTTTGTAAAGACCTCCTGAAAGAAGGGATGAAGTTGCCATGTTTCCCACACCTAAGTGTCTGCTTCCTCACCTCTGCACAGGCCTCAGCTGCTTGTACTGCTGAAGCTGGATGAAGACTTACACGTCAAGCACCCTCGCCTCCTCACCTTTGCCTCCCAGCTCAAGGCAGGAAAGGGACTCACTATTGTGGGCTCTGTCATCGTGGGGAACTTCCTGGAGAACTATGGGGAAGCTCTGGCTGCAGAGCAGGTAAGGAACGTCGTCCAGCGACCTACATTCCTCAAGTGCTTTGTGCGTTAATGGCCTACAAGAAGGCCAGCACTGTTCACAGAGAAGGGTGAGGTTCTGTCCCCAAATGATAAACCTTTTATGTTAGCATATAATAAAAGCTGGAAAATGCTTTTATTCCTAATTATTTAAAAATGTGTTTCTGAGCCTGGCATGGTAGTGCATGCCTTTAAAATCCCAGCACTTAGGGATGCAGAGGCAGGTGGATCTTTGTAAGTTCAAGGCCAACCTGGTCTTCAGAGTAAGTGCCAGGATCCTGTTTCATAAAACCAAAACCAAAAGCTTTTCTATATGTACCTTTGAAAGGAGATTGCTGAGGAAATCATGGAGGACATAAAGCATTTGAATGGTACAGCAGATGTAAAAAAAAAAAATCAGTTTAAAAGAATGTTTTTGCATAAGTGTTGACCAACTTTGAACATAAGGTTTAGTAATATTTTTAAAAGACTTATCAACTTTATGTGACACCTGTAAGCTAAGTTCAGATTAGAAGGAAACCCTCAGGTTTCTAAGATATACTTTTTTCTGTGTGACCTAGGCTTCCAACTCAGTGCTGCCTTTTGAACAGTCGTAATCCCGAGACAGAAGGAGCCAGAGTAGATGTCTACTCTCCCCATTTAAAGCATTTCCCGTGAGATTATCAATAAACATCATTTCCAGTTAGACTCCAAACGCTGCTCTGAAAGGAAGAGAAATCATGTGAGAATTTATGTTCTACTATGATAATGTCCCTGAATCTGACGGCAGCATAGTTCAGAGTACATACGCGCTCACAGAGAACCTGAGTTTGGTTCCCAGCATGTACACACACAATTAATTTTTAAAATTAATCCTTTTTTAATTAGAAATTCTGGGAAATATTAACCCAGATGACAAAAGTTAATTTTTAAAAAGCACATGGCTGCAAATCAATATCTTTACCCTAGATAACCACTAATCTAACTTGTGTCTTTGAGAAAATCATATCTGTTTTGTACGTCATTATTCCCATTCCCTTTCCAACAGAGGAGTTGGGTACAGATAAAGAGGCATGTGATACCGCCTCTAAGTTAACTTGACTAAATGCAGCATAATAAATTAAATGCAGGGGTACTCAGTCACTATTCAAATGTCAGAATGAATATACGAAAAAGAGAAGGGGAAAAGGGAAACCTTACCTGAGAAAATTCTCAAGTGAACTTCAGTGATCATCAGATTATTAGGTTATTAGGATGCCTAGGTTTCCTGAAAGATTAAGGGATGTCTGGGATTAACAAGAGTATGGTGTTGACACTAGGGAATTTGCTTTGTCAATCAAGAAACTATGTCCACTACTTTTTGGACAGCCCTGTGCTCAGTGCTTCACCTGAAAAGGAAGCAAGCAGAATAGAGGAAAGGGAAGAGGAGCTACATATGGACCACCAGCTACAGATACGCATATAGGCAGTAAGCACTTCTAAAGTAAAACAAATGAAGCAAAACAAAAACAAAGATGGCACTTCAATGGAGCACACTGAAGTTTTTGGACTTTTCTATTATATTACATTATATTATTACATCTATTATATTACAGTATTACATTGAATTTAGAGAAAGATGGGAATACAATAACGAGAAGGAATGATGAGTTAAAAGGTTCAGGGCAAAGCAGTTGTGCAGGACAGAAACCAGACAACACAGTTGAAGTTTTGTATCTTTTTCAGACCATTAAGCACCTAATGGAGGCAGAAAAGGTAAAAGGATTCTGCCAGCTGGTGGTGGCTGCCAAGCTGAAAGAGGGTATTTCACACCTCATCCAGTCCTGTGGCCTTGGAGGCATGAAGCACAACACAGTGGTGATGGGCTGGCCCAATGGCTGGCGTCAGAGTGAAGATGCTCGCGCTTGGAAGACTTTCATTGGTACAAAACTGTTTCCTGTACTGACCTGAGGGCCCAGAGAGGGATCAAGTTAAATCTGTCACCCTAACTCTTATAGAGACTGTGCTGTGTTGAAACATGCTGCTAGAAGGCCACTTAAAAACTCCTACTAACCTGTTACCTGCCCTGTCCAACTTTACGTTTATGCTCACAAATTATTTATCTATGTCAAGTCTCATCTATTGTCATATTCATTTGTCATTTTCATCTTGATGTCCTCACAAGAACTGGAAAGATTGTCTTTCATCAGACTCTCCCGGATTCATGCTTTAAATGTGTAGTATCTCTAGTTTCCTAAACCATGTTTCTCCATTCATTACTAGCGCTCTAGACTTCCCTCAGTGACCTCTGTCTCTTCGTAAAGTGTGATGTGTGGTGTCAGTAGGACACATTACTCCAAGAAATGTCAGTCAGCATTACATTACCTTCCTGTCCTGAGATGGTGGGAAGAGAAGAAAGTGCAGCAGTTCTTGTTTGTATACGGATATATAAATATCCTCTCTTCTCTCCATAGGCACAGTTCGAGTGACAACTGCTGCCCATCTAGCCTTGCTGGTGGCTAAAAATGTCTCCTTCTTTCCCAGCAATGTGGAGCCATTTTCTGAGGGCAACATTGATGTGTGGTGGATTGTGCATGATGGGGGCATGCTCATGCTGCTGCCCTTCCTGCTGAAACAGCACAAGGTACTCTGGACACTCTTTCAAAGCATTTCTCTTGCTGTCCTGGCTCACTACATGCATTATTATTGTTTACCTGAGTAGTGGTGGCACTTAAAATCTGAAGATTTGGGGCTTATTCTGGGATGTCCCATAATCCCAGCTTCAACATTATTAGAAGTAGAGTGGGTTTAGGGTTTTTTTAAACTTTATTTTGTTGCTGTTGTTGTTGTATGTTACCAATCCACCTTAAGTGGACTAAAATTCCTTTAATTTTTTTAAGTTTACTAAAATTCCTTATGAGTGTTTGAAACAAACAAAAGCAACAGGAACACATCAGTTTCAGGGGTAAGTATGTACATGTTGTGCCTGCCATACCCATATATACTCATTCTCCGATATGTTTGTATGGTGTCATTGTTATGCTGTCTGAATAAAGCACTCTCAGTGGATCTTGGATGGGGCTATGTAGATGTGTTTTACCCTCCCCATATGAAGCCAGCAGCTGTTCCTGCAGTAGGCAGCAACTTGGTGTTGCTGAATCAATTCTGACTTTATTATCTGGAGGTAGCATTCTATCCCACAGATTGATAGTCTTACACACTGCCTTCCTGCAGCCTGAGGATGCAGACTGAAAGTACTGTTCTACCCATGCTTCTGCCTTAAACCATTCACCATTGGTGGTCAACCCAATCCTCAGTCCCTTGTCCTTCCAAGGATTTTACAAATTAAATGCCAGGAATCAGGGACAAACATCAATTTCACAATACTACATGAGCAAATTTTTTTTTTTTGTAACAGAATTAAGAACTTAGTACCACCAATAGTGAAGGATGCTGGTAGATCCCACCACTCAGGAGGCCAAGGTGGGAGGATCAAAGTTCAAGGCCAGCCTGAGCTATTGTGTTAACTTAGATTGTATTTAATGTGTTGCTTAGTCAAACCTCCAGCCCACAAGTTCCAGAATAACCATTCTGAGACTTAATATTAATTATAAACTGTTTGACTTATGACTCAGGCTTCTTACTGACTAGCTCTACATATAAATTAACCCATTTCTAATAATCTGTATATTGCCACATGTCCCGTGGCTTACCAGTAATGCTCTGGCATTGTACTCCTTTGGGAGCTGCTGGTGTCTCTCTGACTCCACCTTCTTTCTCCCTTTATCTTTGCTTGGATTTCTCACCTGGCTCTATTCTGCCTGGCTATTTTATTAACCAATAGTAACAACATATTCACTGCATACAGAGAGGCAACTCACGTCATTTTACACTACTACAAAAATGAATCAAGCAGGAAGCAAGGAACAAATACTTGATACTACAGCAAGCGCATCCTAGGCACAAATGTCTCATTTTAGGGAATCTTTTCCCCTTCCTGCACCTAATTTCCCGTGTGCACGGCGTTTCACCAGGTATGGAGAAAATGCAGCATAAGGATCTTCACGGTGGCCCAGCTCGAAGACAACAGTATCCAGATGAAGAAAGACCTGGCCACCTTCCTGTACCATCTGCGCATTGAGGCAGAAGTGGAAGTGGTGGAGATGGTGAGGAAGTGGAACCCGAAATAGAGGAGAACACCACTCCCTCAACCCCAGCTCTCTTCTAGAATCTAGTCTGGGATATTAATCAGCTCTAAATGTGTGGTTTAACCCCCTAGTCCTTAAAAAAAAAAAAACCTAATTTATTGACCTAAGTAAGTAGGATGTATAAATGTTTGGGAGTTTTTTTTATTTGCTTTCATTTTAAATTATATTTTTATTACTCT